GGGACACTATGCTTTACTGTAGGCTCTCACTGTGTGTTCTCTGTTCATAGCATACCAGCAGTCACAATGATCTTTGAGCCAAAATCAAAATAGTTTAGTTATTTAGCAGGTTTCAATGTATATTTTATAGATCCAAGTAAAATTGACAGCAAAATTAGAGAAATGATACTCCAAAATTTGAGTAATTGTTGCAAGAAATAAAAGTTCCTATGCATTACTATTAAATATAACATGAAATAAGAAAGGAAGAAATATAATGAGATTAAATGAGGACATGGACTTGCCACTGAAAAGAACATTCATAACCAAAATTAACAACCCTGTGATTAAAGCATTCCTATCTGCTTATGACAGCATTTAGGGAATCACAGTTTAAATGAAGAGAGTACATCAAAAGATGTTCCTGACTGAATTTTTAAAAAGAGTTTTCATTACGTTGGCCAAATTTATTTAATAGTTACTCAAATGACAGCTGTTTTTTAAAAAATTTCAGAGTTGTCACTCTTGCCCAAATTCAGGTCTGCCTTTGTAAACCAGAATTACAAAGTGGTGTTTCAAAGTTTAGTACATGAGGCCACCAAAATAAGTTCTTTCTTCCATTTATGTCCTGTTCTGAACTTCACTCATTCACTCACAATTTGTCCTTGTGTATGCAATGCATAGACATTTGTCCAAAGCATGTCAAAGCAGGTGTACAATTGAATGGAGTTACATTACGTTTAGAGTTATGTGGAGACTTTTTTCTCAGTTTTTCTGACAGAAGAATTGGAAAATTTGGGGAAACACTGAAAAAGAATCCTTTGTCTTACAAACTTTTCACTCTTCCCAAATACACAGCATGAAAGAGTCTGAGAACTTGCTCAATATTACAATAAGCTTTAAAATTTTGGGGAGCAATGAAAAAAGACCTTTTAAATTCCAAATATTTTTAAAATTTAAATGTAAACAATTTGGCAACAATTAGTACTCTATAATGTGTGTAATTAGAATACATTATTTAAAAGTTCATCGTTTTCAATGTTATAAAGTTTAGTTTAATATTCAGATATTCTTGTAGTTCTACCTATTGCAACTCTATATCTGTGCAAATAATACACTTTCTTTTTTTTTACTACAGACTTTTTTTTTGGTCTTCACCTTTCTTTTTTATTATGGCAAAAATTAAAGATGCATGTACTATGGTAACATACAATGTAATATAGGACTGCCAAACCCTGAGTTCCCATTGACCTCCACTGCATGCAGCGCTATGGCACTTCTGGTAAAAACCTGGGAGTGACATAGGGTTGCTATAGGAATTGCTGGAAACTCTACAATAAAAGTTTCTGGTGATTCCTAGAGCTACCCTATGTCACGTCTGTGTCGTGAGTCCCGCGGAATGCTGGCTGGCACGTTAGTGCCCAGAGGAGATAGAGTACCCAATGATGAATGGAGTCAGGAACTTAGGTGCAACCACTGTGAGTTTATTCTCACCCAGCCACCACCTATATACAGTTCTGTGCGTCAAAGTGCTCCGCTGCAACTGATACATTGGAAGAAGATAAAACCACTGTACACACTTTACATATATACACCTGCTGGCCAATCAGCAGATAGCTGATGCAACCTTCAGCAACATCTTCAGTGCCAGGCTGCACTGCCTTAAACTGGTTCTGGCCAGCCTCCTAGCAGTCACATGCTGTTATTAGCTGTCACTTTTCTGACACACCAGATTAAACTCATCTAGGCCAGCCTTACTATAATGAGTGAATCACGACAGTCTGGACAGACAGCATCACATGTCTCCACTCACAATCCTCCTGCTGGGGCCTGCCACCCCTAATATAACAACTTGCAGCTCCTCTGAAATGTTTATACTTGCAATATTTCATGTATACTTGTGTAGGTGCATAAGAAAATATTAAGTGAAAAGGAAAGGGTACACTACTGTGTATGTTCCTTTTCCCTTGCTAATTTCCAGGCACCATACCAGTACCTGGATGCGATAGTTCAGTGGTTAAGGGGAAGTTGGCTGAAGATGAGTCCATCTAAGATGGAGGTCACGTGGCTGGGAAAGACTGAAATGCTAGCTAGAAGGTCACTCCCAGGACTTGATGGTGTCCAGCTGACAGTTGTAGACTCTATAAAGAATCCTGGGTTGTGGTTGGATTCTGTGCTATCATTGGATAAACATGTGTCCATGGGAGTTCGGTTTGCATTTTTTCACCTATGCCAGGCCTGCCAGCTGGCTTCAAATTTGTCTGGGTTGGACCTTGCCATGATGATCCATGCAACAGTCACCTCTAGATTGGACTACTGTAATTCACTCTGAGTAGGGCTACCCTTGAAAACACTTTGGATACTGCAGAATGTAGCCGCCAGGTTGTTGACCAGAACTTCATGGTCAGCTCATATTTACTCCCAATTTTGTGGCAGCAGCTCTGGCTACCAATTAGTCTCTAGATCTGGTTCAGGGTGTTGGTGCTAACCTTTAAATCCTTTAACAGTCTGGGAGCCTCATACTTACACGACCACCTCTCCCACACTCCCTTTGGTCATCCTCTAGGGGTCTCTTGCAGGTCCCCAGGATGGCTCTGTTAGCTGTCACCAGTGGAAGGGCCTTCTCAGTTGTGGCCCCTACCCTGTGGAATGCACACTGTGATGGTACCCATGCCCTGTCAGACTTGTTTAGTTTCCACAGGGCATACAAGGCTGAATTGTTTAGGTAGGCCTTTGGAGTATAATCCATGTGTTTGGCTTGCTTTTGTTGGTGGTATGATGCTAGCCACATATCTTAATAGTTTAACATTTTAACATGAATGTTTTCTATTTGTTATCTGCTTATAGGTAGTTTTTCATTTATTTATATGGTTTTAATGTTGTAAGTCGCCACAAGATCCTTTGGGTGAGTGGTGACTAAATAATCTAATAAATAAATAAAATTTTATATCCCCATTATTTTTCCCAGGCATATCCTCCAAAGTCTTCCCTGTATCATCACATTGTCTGTTAATACCATGTTCCCATTAGATAAGTTATATGTTGCACTTGAATGCAGGCCTTTGTGTTATGACTCTAATAATCATTGGTTACACAGCCTCAGACAGATATGGCTGTAAGTGAATTTGGAGGTACCAAAGCCACTGATGATTCATTTGCACATTCAGCACTTTACACTGTTCAGCCCTTGCTGCAGAAATTACTAAATATTCTTGAATGGTTTGAACGAAAAATACAACAGGTGTCACAATGTAGAATTTAAAACACAATACAAAGGGACCGTACTCTATAAAGATGTGGCAAGCAGCAAATTCAATAAAGTCCTAGGTATTGATTGACTGGTTGTACAAATTGGACATGTTAGCAGTTAATTGGGTGCCTTGCTTAGGCAATATGTTTAACATGGCTTTTAAAGACAGCACTGGAGTCACTAACTTAGAATGTCAGAGGATAACTGTACCATGACCAAAAGGGTCAGTAATTAAACAGCACACAGGTTAATTGCAGGGACAGGCAAGAGAACAGAGATGGTAGATCAAAAGGGATCAGCTGAATAACACTGCATTAATTCAACAAGGAGAAAGAAGAGACATTTCATAAATTCATTACGCATTCAAGCCCATCCTTGGCAATTGTCGTTGAACTGAGGATTCATACTCATTAACAGGTGGAGCTGGAAACTGGGATAAAGCTAGATTATGGGGGCTGGTAAAGCACAAGATTCCACTGCAGCTCTCACATAAACCTAAATTCCAACATCATAGTGCCCCTTTTTCAGAGTAACTATGAGCCTGGGAACATTTCATGGCATTACAGAGTACATGAGATCTGACAACAAACATGTAAGAAACAAAATTAATGTAGAGCTGTAGATAAACCAGTTGCCTTCCATGACATCTGGACTGTGTTTATTGAGCAGCTTCCAAAGTAATATGCACCAGGAATGGATCCTACCACAGATCAGCAGCTGATTTGGTTCAAAGGTCATTCTCCATTCAAGCAATATATGCCAGGTAAACCAGACAAATATCGTATCCTCTCAAGGGAAACATTTAAGTGGGCAGGCAGCCTGGAACATGGCTTGAATCCCAGCTTTCGTACTATGCCATGACAACACTAAGTCGAACATTGAACCACAGTGGGATTGAAGTGTTAGGACTGCCAGAGAGCTTGTACATCTCTCACTACAGAAAGCTATGCTATTTGGGTAGAAAAATATCCTAGATGCAAATAATATTAGGATTTACTAATATTAGATGTTTTTCTTAGAAATTTATGGCAGTTTGTGTGAGTTGTCTAAAATGTTAGGTTCGAAATATTGTTTTGTTTGTTCAAGTTGATAATAAAAAGTACAGTTTTATAAAGGAGCAAAGCTGATGTGAGTTATTCAATATGCAAAAGGGAAGGGCCTCATATACTCAAAGAAAAAATTCTGCATCATGTGAAAGTGTATTTCCAAGCTCTGAGTGTCTTAATATTGTCAAATGCAAGTACCTGCCATCATAAGAATTAGTTTTACAAGACAGTGGAATTTGGCTTACCCCAAATGGAATATGTATACATTTTTAAATAAAATCATTTGAGGGTAAAAAAAAATACTTGGGGGAAAATGGGAGAGAACTTTCCCCCCTGAATTTTCCCAGGTTTTTTTTGGGGCGGTCTTCATATCTCTCACTCCCAACAGGCATAGATTTCTACACTGATTCTGGATGCAATTTTTACATAGGAGTTTTTTATGCTGTTTATTTTTTTCTTGTTTCTCATACACTCAAATAACTTTTCTGATGAAGGGAGCTTTGACTCTCAAAAGCTTATACCCTGAAACTCTTGTTGATGTCTAAGGCACTTCTGGACTCAAATCTAACAATTCTATTGTGGACCAACCCTCTAAATCCAAAATAACTGAAGCAAAGATTGCACAGCAAGCATGTACTTTAATCAATATGATGATTCAGGTTGCATTTTTTTCTGTTCTTTTTCACTTCACTATGATACGTGATTCTCACTGTTTCCCCCTACAGGTTTGTTTCCAGCAGTGCTAAACTTGGCTTCTAATGCACTCATCACAACAAATGCTACCTGTGGTCAAAGAGGTCCTGAAATGTACTGCAAGTTGGTGGAACATGTACCTGGACAACCTGTGAAAAACCCCCAGTGTCGGATTTGTGACCTGCACAGTAGGATTCCAAACTGTATGTGCACAAGTTTTATTCATTCTGTTTACTTACATCCTTGAGTGGGAGGAGGCAAGGGTGTAGACTTTCCAATTTCCCGGGGGGGGCTGGGGCTGGGCCAGAGGCATTGCTTTGCTAGGAGCAAGGGTGGCTCCCGGGGGAGGCTGAGTACCTTCCTGAAAATTTCGGCGGGGGCTGAAGCCCCACCGCCCCCAAGGATTTCAAATTAACTGTATCATTCTTTGTCAGGGGTTTTACCTTCTGTTTAAATTAAGGTACTTATGGGGCAATCTTAAACAGGCGTACTCAAAATCCTACTGAAGTATACTTAATGTGGCTTATACCCAGGCTGGGTATTTGTAATGAAATTGTTATGGGGTTGTCCATTTTTTCATTCAAATGGATTGCACATGGATGCCTGTTCACTCCATACAAGCCATAACATTTACACAATGTCCACACCTTAGTTTTCTCAGAACATGTCATGTGTGACCTTATCTATGCCAGGTTCCAGTCCTGGAGCAGTGCTATACCAAATTAAGTCCCTAATAACAAAGTCCCTCTAGACCCCCTAACCATATTAAGGGGGTGGGCCCTTCCCAGAGTGAATATCCTGTACATGAGATTAACTCAACCAGCAGGGTGTTCAGGAGAGATGGCATGATCTTTGGGTAGATTTCAACATTTCAGTCCTGGCACTTTCCAAAAGCATTAAGTCCTGGTTTCTGAAACATATCCAGAAATCCTTTCCCACCTCACTCACAGAGTAACGCCAACTAAAAAGGAAAAAAAATACATGAAAAAGCGAGTGGAGTGGAATAACTTGTTTCTGGCCAATTTTCACAAATCGGGTAATCACTCATTACAACTTGACCATCAGTGTTGAGCTTGAGGGTGTCATAAATATAGGCTGGTAGGACCTAATTGTTACCTAAAATGTCTTGCTCACAGGAAAATGTGAATTGCATTGTTAAAACACATAAGTGATTTTGACATGGGGAGGGGCTTGTGTGGTTTCCCTATTCATGGTATGACTGCAGATAAAGCACAGTGGCAGTGGGGGTTCCACATGGCAGGTTTCCCTGCAGTTTCACTCCCCTAGTCTCTCAGCAGTGACCATCCCTCCTTCAGGCCACCATGGCTATTTCAGTTTTTTTAGAAAATTAGCAGATAAATATTGTTATATTGATATACCATTATAACCACCTGTATGCTAGGTTCTATGAATTCCAATCTTTATTTTTTTTTAAAGTAAGTCTCTAGTCCCTTCTGCTGCAAAGATATAAATTTCCCCTTATTTCACTACAAAGGAAAAAGCTGGAGACTTACTTTTTTAAAAATGAAAGCTGAGAATTGAGAGAACTTGTTACACCTATTGTCAAAATGGTATATTAATATAACAATATTCTAGGGACATGCATTCGGTTCGTCTGAACCGAATGCACCCCCGAAAATGACCCATTCAGGCCCCTTTCTGAATCAGCTTGCCGCTGAATTGCTGCTGAATTTTGGTGGCAATTTGGCCCCATTATATCCTATGGGCCATTGAAGTCAAAGGCAAAAACATAGAGTCTATTCTGGGGACTGGAGCAGAGGGGGTTTGTGGGACAGGCTCCGAACTCGCTGGGTAGCTGCTGGAGCCTCTCCCCAAGATACCCACCAAGTTTCAAGAACATTGGACCAGGGGGTCCAATTCTACGGGCCCCCAAACAGGTTGCCCCCATCCCCTCCATTGTTCTCTATGGTGGGAAAAATGTTTGCGAGTTTGGAGCCTCTCCCTCAAACCCCCTCCCCTCCAACCCCCAGAATATACCCTATGTTTTCGCCATTGACTTCAATGGCCCACAGGATATAATGGCGCTGAAATTGACATTCGGCTGGGCCAAAGACTCCTGAATTGGCTCCTACAGCCTAAATTGACATGCGGGAGTCTTTCTGCCGGCCGAAATGGATTCTGCCTGATTTGGCCGAATCCGAATTCCTAATGGTAAAAAATGATAATGGTATCTGGTGCATTGATGTTACAGAGAAGCATATATATTGGAGAGACAAAGCAGGTGATCCACCAGTATACATGCTTCCCTGTATTTTACTTATGGACTACAGCAATGTGCATTCAAATATACATTTGCATGGCAAGATATGAAGCTGCATACTGCTGAGATTAATGTTCTCAGTGTGAAGAAATAGCAAAGGTTTGATTCAGAATCGAGTCTGCCCCTGTATCTGCTGGTAACCAGTACTTTTCTTCTGGGCAGAACTAATTTTGCAAAGAGATAATTAGTGGTAATACTATACATACTAATATTTAGACACCGAATTTAGTCCTGCTCCCCCACAGATTATCATTACAATTCATGTTATATACTTGATCAAAATATATAAATGTGAACCACAGGCCCAGCTCGGGTTGCTGAATGGGCAGTCCATTCAGGGGATCCAGACATGAAGTGCTCATTCAAGGAATCAGCCTTCTGCACACCTACCGACTTCTCTTAATCCAACTAACTCCTGTTCCCCCACCTCCAAACTTCTTACACATCTGAATATTTGCTTAGCTATTTTCAGGATTTTTGTGACAAAAGTAGCAGTGTTTGTATCATTAGAGGAGCAGGTAGGGGGCATCGTTGAAATTCACAAGATCCATCTTTCTAAATTTGGTACATCTACATCTTTCTAAAAACAGTAACTAGCTTTCTATAAAGAGTAGCCACCTCACAAAAGTTAGGAGGTGGTGCCTCCTGCTCCACTTCTAATTTAAGCAATGAAAAGTTGGACAACCCTTAGAATTATTTACGAGACATCAGTCAGGGAGCCATACCATTTTGGAAGCTCCAAAGTTGTGAAATCATCACTTGCTTAGTTTTGAAAATAAGTGATTAACAATACTTAAGCCGCCCTGAGCCTGTGGGGAGGGCGGGATAGAAATCCAAATAAATAAATAAATAAATACTTCAAATAATTAAAGGGTACAGGCTAATCCTGAAGAGTCTGTCTCGTTATATGTTACTTAGTCCTTCTTCCTTTCACTATTTGAAAGATCATGTGCATTGCGATTCTGTCTCTGTTGTTAATCTGTGGTGCAGCCAGCCATTTAAAATGCATAGTCTTTCATTACAAACTCATCACATTTTAAGGTTTGCAAAATGTTCATTTGGCACCATGAACTGTTTTATTTACCCAGTGATGGCCCTTTAATAAGAGGGCTGTGTAATGTAACCAGACTTTAAATGGTCCCCTTGGAATTTGTGAATCTGGTTTGCCTCCCCTTAATTACTTTAGAAGGAAAAGAACACACACTCCTTGGTTAATCATATGTGAGCACAAATTAAAGACCACACTTCGATGGGTTGCCTATGTAAAAACTCCCTTGTCATTCATCACTGAGGTTGGTCCTTGTATTAAGTCTGCAGTGTTATCCTTTTACCGGCATAAGATATATTTTTTTCTTTCCCATTTTAAAAATAGGAATACATTTCAGCAATTAATTAGTGGTTTCAAATTAATTAAGATTAAATGTCCATAATGGGATTTTAGTTAATTGTATATTCATCTCTCATCCCTACTTTTCATGACTAACCCCCATATCAATTTGACTTGAGGAGACTGATAGCAACATTTCCAATTAGCCAACTTCTATCACTATCACCTTGGAGATCTGGGTTTGATTTGCAGCTGATTTTTTTCTAGGATACTTTTAAGCTGATTGCAGAAAAAAGATCAGACATAGCAAAAAGATCAGACGGTACCCAGACCAAAGAGTTTCTTTTCCTCTGCCCCTTGTATCTTTTTAAAATACGAAGCTGATTCCAATAATAACTCATTTCTCTTCCTAATTTGATAACATGCCAGTTTCGAAGTTTCCTAGTGCTGCTGAATCATTTGATATTTACATACAGTGTATGGCATTTTCGGTTTCAAGACTGACACTTTCCCTTCCTCCCACAGAGGCTTTAATTGTGCTTTCAAATGTGCCCAGAGACATTCCAGTTTTCAGTAATGAGGCAGGGTTCTTTGCCTTTAGTGAGCTGCTGACATGATACAAAACCATGAAATTAAAGATCAGCAATCTGGTTAGTAGATTTAAATAGCAGGTGATTTAGGGTAACCAAATACCAAATGAAGTGTTATATCTAAATCTTAGAGAAATTAAGTGGGGACTCTTGTTGCATTGAGCCCTCCTTATGCAACAGGGCTGTGCCCAGACTGATGTCTCAGCTGTCTTCCTGCAGATCCTCTTGGTGGGTATGCATGCATAGTACCCAGTTTCTAGTTGGTGCTGAGAATTGCCCCTGTAGGGATTAAGGCTATTATTCCCCAACTAATTATTGCCATCCCAATATAAACTGAACATTTGTACATTCTGAACTCATTGTTTTTGGAAACAGTATGAATGTCCTCCAAGCAATTTAGAAAAATCTACATATCTTCTGCTTCTCACTAATTCTAGATGCATAGCATCTTAAAAACAAATCCCAACATTTTCATATAAAATACAGTGCAGTGGATCAAACCACTACGTTCAGCAACATTGGAAGGCTTTCTCCAACTTAAATTAAACTTTGCTTAGCAGAATGGCTGAAGCTGAAGTACCCACTTATGTGTGCAACTTAGAGTTACCAGCCCACCACTAAGCCCTTGTTTATCACCACTGCTCCAAGTGGCAATGGGAGAGAAAAAAATGGACATTGGGCCAATGGCATGACATCACTTGAGGAAAACCCAGAAGTGATGTCAGTCCTTTCTAGGAATTGCCATGTCCCTATCCCTCCCTCCATCTCATGCTGGTTGCCTGGCTACACATAAGAATGTAAAGGCAGGCAGATGGTCTAATAATTGTGATCTTATTTTCAAGACTGTAATTAGGGTCACAACTAAATGAACTTTAAACTGAATGAGGAAGATATTTGAGGTATTTTCACACATCGCAAAATACATTTTTGCGCGTGCCCAGGGGATATTTTTTGGTTGAAAAAAATGTCACCTTGAATCTGTACTCAGTATTTGGTTTTTGCAAAACACAAATGGAATTTCATCTTTCTAGATTCTATTCATATTACAATATGAATATAGTTATACTATAGTATCAGCTTTCTCTTTCAACTTTGGCACAGTAGGGCCTTTTAAAGTAACTAGTGTCAGAAGTCCCCAGAATATCTTCCCTCGGGTTTCTTTGTATCTGCTTCAATATGTTTCATCATTTTCCCTTCTTGTTGTGACAAGTCGTTTCTAGCAGTTATTGCACTAACAAAATTGGCTATGCTGCTTGAAAACCAGTACCTGTTTCTGTATAAATATTCTTCAGTTATTTTTTCTTACACATCACAATGGCTTAATAGAGAGTGATTAACTACGTACTGCTCCTGTGCATCATGCATGGGCTCCCCAAATATCATTAAATTTAATGGTGATGTCTTCGTAAAAGTGCCTGGTGGGTTGCTATTTGGGATGGGCATGAACTGGGACAATGTGATTTGGTTCAGTTTGTGGTTTGTGAACCACGAACCATCACAAACTTTTAGCCACCAAATGAACAGGTTTGGTTTATGAGGTTCATGACATAGTAGCATGCTAGAGACACAAAACTCCCAGAGGATCTCTGCCAGACTCTCCTTTATCTGCCCACCAAGTTTGGTGAGGATTGGATTTACGGGGTCTAAGTTATGGCCCCCAAAGAAGGTGCCCCCAGGAAAATGTTTTCTGGGGAAACGGCAGGTGGTCATTTTGACAGGCGCAGGTTCAGGAGATTCAAGGATATATAAAATGGAACCTGTGCAAGCTAGAGACAACAAAGTTGCAGGGGACCCCTCCCAGAAGCTCTTCTACATGCCCCCCAAGTTATGTTGCTTTGAAGTTTGGTAAACATTTAGTTTGAGTGGAGACAGTCTGTCTACAAATGTATCCATTCACCAACAGCCACAAACAGCTGGAAAGTTCATGGAGAGTTCATGCCAGTTGACCTGCCATGAACTTCACCAACCACGAACCAGCCAAAATTCATCATGAACTTTAGTTTGTGAGCTGGTTCATGCCTATCCCTAGTTGCTATCATAAGCCATAACCTTTAACCGGAACACTAAGCTGGGCATAGAAGAGTTGTCAGCATGTGATGTTTTAGGCAGTCTATGATTAGCAGTACTTGTTAGGGAATGTGTAAAGAACCATGGATTGTTATTTTGCTTTAGTTGCTGTTTGTTTTAAATTCTTATCTGAAATCTGTTTATTTGGGATCTAAACAAGTCTTCAAAATACATTTCATAAAGAGCTTTTGGGGGTAATTCTAAAGTACAGTATGTGATGACAAGCAGATGAAAATATTTCAGTCTAAGACATTATACTCATCACAGGTTGAATGAAATGATGGTACAGTAAATAAGTCCTGTCTATTGATTATCTACGTTTCTTTTGAACCAACAGTGCGGCACCCAATCACAAATGCAATTGATGGCAAGAATACCTGGTGGCAAAGTCCTAGCATTCAAAATGGGATGGAATATCATTATGTGACCATCACACTGGATCTGCGACAGGTAATGTTTAAATTTAGTTTCTGCAAACTCATTTCAACTGTAAAATCATTAATTTCTTTTTTCCAGTCTACTAGCAACACATTAAGCACCATCCATTATCATAAAGTGCAAAGTAATTCACATAAACAATGCAAAATGACCTGTTCATGGTAGCGTAATTTGTTCATATTGTTCATCCTCAGGTGTTAGAACCATTGTAGATGTAAGGCTAGCCCCTCCCAAATACCTGCTGACATAAGTGGCTTACCTGTGTCAGTAAATTGTCATAAGATTTTCACAAGAAGATTGCTGCTTATCCACAATGATTAGAAAAATAACAACTTACAAGGATGGGAGCAATCTCCTTCTCCTTCACCATTATTGCACTGCTTGATTTTGTAGGTGACTCACATAAGGAGTTATTTGTGGAAATTAGCCAGCTGCACTAACATCTGCAATACATATTTTGAATATTTTTAGAAATATTAAATATCGAGTTTCAGGTCCAGCATTTGGCTAGGGTGCTGAATTCTTGTGTCCTTCAGAATACGAAGAGAGAGATCGCAAGTGATTCCTCCCCCCGAATTTTCAAAGGCGTTTAAATGAAGAGGGTGCATCTCATTATCTCAGACAAAGTTGTCTTTTAAAGATATGTCATTTTACTGAATAAGCTACGTGTCAGAGTTGTTGTTTTTTTAAAAAAAATTAAGTCTACTCTATGTGGCTAGCTAACAAGACCTGATATATTTACATAGACTCAGTAGGAAGTAGCCTCAGGTTTCTTGTTGCATTTTCTGCCAATCATTTTCTTCTCCTTCAGTAGTAAGTTTGATGAAATGACAGCTGTGTAGGTTTCTAGAAGGCTGTTATCATTTGATCTTCACAAGTGTGCTGTATTGTGGCAGCTACGCAAGTAAGAGGACTTGGAGTGTCAGAAGAGAAATGGTTTTATTTCCCTTCAGCTAATGCAAATACAGAATAACTAGTAGGTGCCAGAAATAACACTTCACATTTTTAGACTCTCTGGCTGCTACATGTCATCCAAGAAATTAAAAATAGACTAGATAACCTAGGAAGATCCACCCTTCCCTTTATCCATTCTTCATAAATGGTTACCACATTGACTCCTGAACCTGCTATCTTGAGTGTAGGGCTGCCCTTATAATGAATGAGATTAGCTAGAAATTCAGAAATATGGGTTAGGAACAAAGAGGCAGACAAAAATTCATTGGACATAAATGCTGGAAAAGCAAAGCCTGCTAAGAGTCTAAAATTGTGAATATTGCTGAAAGAGCACCTTAGGCCACTTGTACCCTAGGAGGAGCTGTGGAACATTCTTTGGTGTTTAGGGTTGATTGAAGGTTTTCTCTTGTAGTTCAGCCTACCTCTTGTTGTTTTTCTCTCTCTGATATGTGTTAGTGCTTGTTCTTTGAAGGCCTCTCTGTTACATTAATGGCCTGCAGTCAGTTATTGTCTTTCTTCAAACACCTGTTGCAGTAAATTCTTCAAAAGCAAACTCCAAGGTGTGGATTGTATTATTTCCAGAAATCTGCCAACAATAAATCAGTTTTAACTTTAGTTAAGCAACAAGATATGTAGAAATAGTTAATATGCCCCATTCTGATGTGATGCCCAGGTGAGCTGGCATGGTCAATATGCCCAATGGCACAAGTCCTTTAATTTGAGAACAGACATAAATCAGCTTTCTTTCATGGTAAGTAGGTTCCCCTCTAAAGCCATATACAACCCCTGCTGGATGTACTTTGCTTTAACAGCAAAAAACATTGGTTCAACTGCGGAGCCATTCCAAACCTGTGTTCTGAAGCATATGGACAGATCCTTCTGCCATAGGAAGGACTCAGCCTAGCTTGATTTCCTTTCCATCCATATTCTAAAAATAAATATCAAACATGTATTTACCCCATTGTCTCTGAGTCCTTGCCATCTACAGAAGGAAATCCTTGGCCATACCACTCTAATAAAAACTAACTAGACATACTTAAGTGCACTGACCACTTTAGGAAACCTCAGTTCCATTGTAACTGGCCCTGAAGAGGCTTTGAGGGTGGTGGCTCAGTTGTAGAGCCTCCGCTTTGCATGCAGAAGGTCCCAGGTTAAATCCCTGGTATCTCTACTTAGAAGGACCAGGCAGGAGAGGATGCAAAAGACCTTTACCTGAGGCTTTGGAGAGTTGCTGCCACTCTGAATGGACAATACTGACTTCGATGGACCAAGGGTCTGATTCAGTATAAGTCAGCTTCAAGTGTGTACTTTACTGTGCAATATCCTCCCTTAGTTCCCTGTGCATCTGATATAATTGTATAGAATTTTAACCCTCTCATAGCACTGTAAAAGTGAAAGCAAAAACATCCACCTTGAAACAACCATTATGCATGGACAGTTAAGATGATTTTGCCAATATTTTAGGATCTTTTTTTCCTGCCCATTTATCTTCCTGATTTCTTCAAATGATCAAATTTCTCTTGAGGCATCTTTAGAAATTCCCTCTGCTGTGTCCTGCTCAATCCAGGGGTGGGGATTAATTTGGTTATGGGACATTTTGTTTTCTCATAAATTATACGTACATTCAGCTCCTCAGCTAAACCTTGAAGTGCTTCTAAAGTTTATTGACATACCAAGGTCTACCTGCAAAAAGTGTGCCACATCTCCTTTTTCATCTTCTGCCGTAAATACCATTCTAATATATGAACTCAGAAGTATATCATGAGACTGAATATCTCATCTGGAATGTATTATATAATTAAATCTACTTTCAAATGCAAAACACATAAAAAACAAAATCATATCTGGATAAACCCCCAAAAGGCTGAAGGTCGGTAATATATACATGTCACTCTGCTAATCAGAGGCCAGATTCTGGGAGGTGCTCACCTTCCAGCTTCTCCTTTTCCAGCATACCTGCAAGCAGTGCCTATGCAACAGAAAGGAGGATGGCTTTCCTTCATCCTGGCCTCCTTCCTCTTTGGCTGTCTTCGGACAGGCCTTATAAAAGAGTGCCTGGGGTGGAACTTCCCCAGGCTTCCACCAATACATCCCATGCCCTTGGAGTGACTGGCTTCCTAACCAATTAGGGTTGCCAAGTGTATCTTTGCCGGGAGTGGGGGGCTCCTGGCTGGCGTCTTGTGCACGTGCGCTGCATGCACGTCACCCGGAAGTGACGGGAGGACGCCAGGCACGCTGGGGGCGGGGCCACGGCCATACAAGGGAAAACCATAGAGTTTTCCCTTGGATGCGCACGTCGGGGTGGAGTCCCCCCCGGGGCCCAATCTGGCAGCGCCAGGGAACGGGCCTCTGGGGTGGGGGTTTCCCCGCCCCCCGGGGGGGACTTGGGATCCCTATAACCAATGGGCTGTTGTCCCTCTAGCCTGCCATTTCCCCTTCCAGAATGCCTGTGAGCAATTCCACAGCAATGGGGAGGAGTAGGGTATTCCTTCATCCTCGTTCCATCTCTCCCTGGGCTCTGCCTGCTTCTGCCTTGGAGGATAAGACCTGGCTTGGAGGACAAGATTCTCCAGGCAGGCCTTATAAAGGAATATCTAATGTGGGACTTCCCCAGGCTCCCACCAATGCATCCCAAGCATTGGGTGGCTGGCCTTCTGGCCAATGGGCTCTCGTCCCACCGCCCTCCCAAGTCTTTAAAAGCCTCTCCTTAGGGTTGCCAGGCCCCAGCAGCATGATGATGTCACATTGCAGACATTATGAAACAAGCAAGCACTGTATAAAAATGCAGACCAAAGAGTGCCCATCAATACCCTTATATTGATAGGCAAAAAATACTTTCATAAAGCACTCATAATGTACAGAAGCCTTCAAAGCAGTATATGCAGGCAAAAATCCTGAAAAGTAGAAGGAAAAGAAGAATGCTCTCACAATATCACTGTTTAAAAAGTTGTAATAATGCACAGTGCCATTGAAAGGCCATAAAGCTCACCAATCCTTGTATTAAATCAGTCTCAACCGTACAGAAATTTTGTATATGATTTAAAATTCTTCTCTTCATGTTATACCAGATGAGCTGTGTACCTCTTAAAATGTTCCTGTGAATGTTTGTATGTGGGGATGTTGACTAGAACTATCAGAACCCGTGTGGTTGAGCATAGGTCTTGTATTAGAAACTCACAGTTAGAATCACCTATGGTTCAGGATTTCATTGACATGCATCATTCTCCTGATGATTTTCAATTTGTGATACTGGAAGTGCTTAAAACTCATCAATATACTTGCATAGATGTTGAAAAAAGGTTGCGACAACATGAAGCATTATGGATTTTTAAACTCAAAACTTATCACCCCTGTGGCCTCAACCAGTCATTAGAACTTGGCTGCTACTTATGAGTTGACTCAATTAGTCATTAGAGTTTAGCTGTTACTTATGAGTAGAAATAGTGTTTGGTCCTTTAATTCCTGTAACTTTAAGAACCTGACTGCTATGGTGCCCAACATACTAGCTACAGTATTTAAATCCTTTAGATGCTGACCACACCTTGAGGTTCTATTGGTGATGGGGTGCCCGGTTGAGACTGATTTAATACAACGATTGGTGAGCTTTATGACCTTTCAATGGCATTGTGCATTATTACAACTTTTTAAACAGTGATATTGTGAGAGCATTCTTCTTTTCCTTCTTCTTTTCAGGATTTTTGCCTATATATACTGCTTTGAAGGCTTCTGTACATTATGAGTGCTTTATGAAGGTATTTTTTGCTTATCAATGGCCCCGGTCACATGGGAGGATTTGCCCCACAAGAGGGATGGATCAAGCTGGCGCGATCACACTGCACATCTGGGAAGCGTCACGCACCCGTCCCCGATCCAGCCCTTCGGCCCGAAAATGTGCATTTAAAAGGTACTACCTTTTGAGCACTACCTTCCGGATGATGTGCGGCAACTCCAGGTGTCTGGTCCGGGAAGTGCTGGTAGCCCGTCACAGCCAGCGCCATTCCCCATCCCACACATGCGCACAACCGCACTACTGCTGGTTTGCTGCACAACACGTGATC